TCTATACCATTTTTTAAAATTCCACTCCTTGGGATCTACATTATCTTATCTATTCCTCACCAAAAAACCCCAAAAACCAACCAACCAAACAAACAAACAAAAAACACAAAACCTCCCAACCCTGCAATTTAAAGAGAAAGAATTCATATTCTAAAAGAAACTTTTGTCAGGGATGTTAAGTGAGCTGCCCAAAGTCACATGGCTACCAGGAGGGCTGGTGCAGTGGAAAGAGCCCTGCCGAGCCTGAAGAGCCTTACTCTCTCACACTGTACCAGGTAGAACTTACTGGACGCCCAGAGATACCCCTGCCCAAACTGTTGCTTTTTCTAGAACTTAAGTCATTTTTCTTAAATTGCAAGAGAATTCTAAGCTCTGATCGATTCTGTGTATATGGCAGGGATATTTAAGTTGTGAAGTAAGGGGAGAATGAAGAGCTGATTGCCCTGTGGGGCAGGATGAAAATTCAGCTTCGTGTCTTCAGTAGCAGGTACTACATTTGGGTCAAACATTGACTTTCATCTGGGCAGGGACTATTGCAAACGTGAGTGATGTAGGCTTATTTGTGGTCATTAAACCCATATCACCAATGGACTGTTTTAGTCCATCTACAAAGATGATGAAATAACTGCCCCAGAAGAAAAGGAAACAAGGAGGAAAGGAACCAGCATTTAATAAGCATTAGTAATGTGCCAGGGACTATGCACATAGCATCTCACTGAGTCCTGAGACCCCTCCATGAAAGCACAGAATACGAGCCTCACCTTTAGAAAAGGAAGGTAACAGTGTTGAGGTTCAAGAGTTTGGTCAAAACCACATGGCTGTCACAGGGGTGCCTGGCTGACTCATTTGGTGGAACATGAGTCTCTTGATCCAGGGGTTGTGACTTTGAGCCCCATGTTGGGTATGAAGATTACTTAAAAATAAAATCTTAAAAAAAAAAAAAAAACAACAACAACCACCACCACATGACTTTTGAGAGGCAGGGTCAGACGTGGAACCCAGGTTGGCCTGATTGCTTTCACTATACTCAGCTGCCTTTTTGACACAACATTATAACAAAGTTCTTTAAAATGGGATTTTGCCTGCATACTCATTTTTATTTATTTATCTATTTAGATTTAATCCATTATAAATTCCACAGAACCGCAGAATAGAAATCTCTGAAATCATTTTCATTCAACCCATTCGTTCATCTGTATTTATTTATTTAGCTCCTTTTAGGTGATAAGCACCATGGTAAAGTGCTAGAGTTGTAACAACAAACCAGACAGACACTGTTCTGCCCTGATAGAAATGATACACTAAAGTTTGTACGCTATACACTAAAACCTTTTCAGTAAAGAATCCAAAAGTTAGTATTTTAGGCTTTGCAGACCATGTAGTCTCTGTTGCAGCTACTTAGCTCTGCCATTATAGCATAAAGAGCTATACATAATACAGAAATGAATGGGTGTCACTGTGTTCCAATAAAACTTTATTTACAGAAACAGGCAGTGGGCCAGATTTGGCCAACAATAGTTTGCTGACTCCTGCTCTTGAGAGGAAGGCTCAGAAACAAAACCAAATAATTAGATTATTGTGATAATTACTCCAAGTGAAAAAAACACAGTGAACTCTGGGATACCTAAGCCAGTTTGAGAGAGATCGAGGAAAGCTTCCAGGAGGGACTGATTTCCACAAAGCTACGAATGATGAATAGGAATTAACAAAATAACATCTTCTGGCCTTCTTACATTAATTCTACTTATGTTTTCCTTTAAAAACATTTTTCATGAACAATTCTTTGTTTCACAAATATGTGTATCATATTGCTTGTCTCATCAATTTTCATCAAAATAATTCCAGTCCCCTCCCTTTCCTCCTGCAACAAGTATATTGACTTTTTCCTTCAGTTTGTCACATTGTAGAGTTTATTCAGCACACCAACAGTCTTGTAAAAGTTCGAACATTAATTTAAACTTTATAGATAAATTTTCTGACATGTAAATCATATCTCAAAAAGCTATTGAAAATAAATAAATAAAGCCAGCAGTCTGACTGCCAGAAGTCCTCAAAGGATGACCAAATTACAATTAAGCCAGCATAGTCCAGGGTCTGGAGAAACTGAACTTTATCTCAATCTCAAGAAATTTTCACAGATAAAGCTTCAAAGAATATGAACTCCCAGCCGAAATTCAAAAAGCACACAGGGTAGTGAGGTATCATGAGAAAGAGTTGCAGAAACAACAGAGAAGTATGACTTGCAAAGACTTCAGATATTGGAATTACCAAAAATAATAATAATAATGATATATTTAGGGCAGCCTGGGTGGCTCAGCGGTTTGGTGCTGCCTTCAGCCCAGGGTGTGATCCTGGAGACCCGGGATCGAGTCCTGCGTCGGGCTCCCTGCGTGGAGCCTGCTTCTCTTACTGCCTGTGTCTCTGCCTCTCTCTCTCTCTCTCTCTCTCTGTGTGTGTGTGTGTGTGTGTGTGTGTGTGTGTCTCATGAATAAGTAAATAAAATCTTTTAAAAATAATAATAATACTTAATATTTTTACAGAAATAAAAGAGAAAACTGAAATATCTCCTTCTTGAGATAGAGTATATTTTCTCTTGAGCAAAAAACAAGAGACCATAAAAAAAGACCACGTAAATTTGAAGAAAAAAAAATAGAACCTCTAGAAATACATTAAGTGCATTAAGAAACAGATTAAACACAACTGAAGAAATAGTTATTTGGAAGAGATAGATTAAGTAACAGAATAATGTTGCCTAAGAGAGAATTTGAGAACTGGAAGATAAACCCAAATAATGAATCAGGATTAAGACAGACACACAGGAGCCAGAGTACATGCAAGAGACATAAAATGTACTAGGACAATATGACAGAGAGAATGTGGAAGAGGCACAATTCCAGGAGATCAGGACTGAGGTTTTCCAGAATTACCGGATGAATGAATGCAAACTTTCAACTATAAAACAAGAAGCGCATGACCAAGTGAAGGACTCTACCTTGCTCCCTATATTTGGCTAACTTACAGTGAAGGAATTTTCTATCGTTTTTAGAAGCCATCATGAACCACTTGGGCCTCAAAAGTAGGCAATGTGAAAACCATTCGATCCAGTTTGCATTTTCTCCATCCACCGGATTCAGTTTCTTTTCACATTACATTACTGTTTTTCGTAAAAACCAGGACACACTGGAATTTAGTCTTTAGGGTAATGTTGAAATCCCTGGAGCCCCTCAATGTCCAGTGCAGGGTTTGCTACCTAGCGATTGCATAAGAAAGGTCACCGGCAATCAGCATGATCAGGTCAGTAACAACTAGAGATAAGAATGTTAACTGAAACTTAATAGCTGAAAGAAAGTAACCTAACAGTATTTTTCCAGACCTTGAAATAAAAGTAGATTTAGCAAATAGCATCCTAATATGGATGTCCCCCAGCCCAACCACAAGGGCTCAGGTCGTAGTAACGTAATCTTAGTTAACATTTGTGGATCATTTACTTTTAGCTAGGCACTGCTAAGCATGTAACGATAAGAAAACAGGAATTATTTTATAGCCTATTCAACAAATGTTCTTTAGCCTACATAACTGAAAACAAGTTGCTTGTATTCTCTAAATGCATTGATGAATCTTAAGCCTAGTGTACTCAGCCATTACCATTGTACTACCAAAAGCTATCACAAGATAAAATTAATTTTATTTCACCTTAACTTAGCAAAATATACTTCATGATATGAAATATTTAAAAACTTGATGAAAAGTTAGTGGTTGCTGAAATTCTCTTTCCTGAATACAATAAAAACACATATAAGACAAAATGATACCCACGGAGAAATGATCAGAAAAATGTTTGTTTGTTTGTTTGTTTGTTTTACCAATTTGACAGGTTGCAAACCTCTCAGATACCTGCATAGCCCTGGGTCAGGGCAGCAAGCCTCAAAGTTTAGGGTGTACTAGTATCCCCGCAAACCTTATAAAAAAATGTAGATTCCTAAGCTCAAGTGGAAGAATTCTGAGTTAGCAGGTATGTATTGAGGCTCCGAATTCTGCTCTATTTGCAAGCACCACAGGAAAATGTGGGCGGGTGGTCAGACATCCCTTACAAAACTCGGTCTTCAGAGAGATAGAGCCCCAAGTCCTCACCTTCCTAGGAAACTTGAATCCTGAACAACTCCAGCTCAACCACAGAAGATGTGCAATTTGGTCTAGGTCCCTACATAACTGATCTGGATCCATAACCAGAGGGACAGATCAGAGCCATAATGGTTTCCAGGCATGGGGTAAAGTGCTACTTATTATGACAGCATCTTTAATAATTGAGTCAATTAAAGAAATTCTCTTCATATGCTAGTCTACTCCCTTCGCTCCTCTAAAAAGAGAGTGGTCTCACCTTTTTATAATCATTGTGGTAATGGGCCATTTCCTCTTGGCCTTCAATTTCAAAATTCAGTTTCAAGAGTGAAAAGGAAATAGTTTGAACAAAACAGATGTTTATAACATTTTTTATTTGACCTGAAGGGTGAGCGGTCAATATGTTTACCTGATTGCATTACAACCAATTGGGCACCAAGGCCTCTTGAAACGAAAGCACCAAGTTGAGTGGCTAAAACCAGAGGTGGAGAGAATATGTAAACATCTTTGGTAAAATACAATTAAATTTACTTTTACTTTGAGGAAACCCTTTGAAGATCACCTTAGGAAATGTTTGCTTAAGACTGAGAGAATTAGAACTGATAGATCCTATTACCAAGACATAAGGTTTTGTCATTTCTGCTTAAAGTGGCTTTTGCTCCCAGACAATCATGAGGGGAAAACAGGAAATATATTTAATTCAACATCTACTTAGCCTCATGGAGTTCCCCTGCCTACTGAACTTCATACTACATGGTGTTCACTCCAAAGAGTTAACTACATAACCCTTTTTTCTCTCCAGAACTTTTGATGACTTTGCAAGCCAGTCAACAGTTCAGCACAGAAGCATCTGGAGTCACGCTGGCAGGTTGTGACAAAACCACACAATTACATGAGGTTCACCCCATTCTGAAAATGCCCGAACAGCAAACGGCAGAGGTAAATGGAACAACAGTCAGCACTGGCACAGCCTGAGAGAGACCTGAGACTCGGAGCCCTCAGGCTCGGGGGCCAACTTCCTGCTGTGGCCTGGTGTAAAGGTGGCAGATAAAAAAAAATGACAGCAAGACTTCTGAGAACAGCCCTCGCTTTGCTCTTCTTTGGCCTCTTTGGGGTCCTGGAGGCAACAACAATATCGTGCAGGAATGAAGAAGGCGAAGCTGTGGATTGGTAGGTAAATGAAGTGTGAGGATCCGGGCCTGCAGCTAGGAAGCCAGAGTGTCTGAGGCCCCGTGGCTTACTGTAAAGTTCCAAAGGAGTCTTCCACCCACCTCTCCCTTTTAAAAAGAAAGGAAATTAAAGTGTGGAAATGGGCCAATAATCCAAGTAGGGGCAGGCTCCTGAGTGGGGGAGCCTCCCCCTGAGGAAGAGCTGATCAGCCCCTCCTGAGCCCGATTGACTGCTCCCAGAGGGGAAGGCTGGTGGCCACAGGGTAGGATGGAACCGACAGCCTCGCTCAGTTGGCAATTTCTTTTAATTACACTGTGCCTTTCCTAACAGAACCCTTCCACCATCGCTTTAGAGATTGACAAAGGAGAGAAGGCAGAGAAGGCAGGTACTTTTTTTCTGACACAAGAGCTTGTTCTTCCCCTTGTGAGAATGGAAAAGAGGCCTGACTGAACAGCGCTGTTGGCTTAGCCCTGTCTGTTAGGCAATGCAAGGCCGTTGTTGGAGTGGGTGCTAGGTCACTGGTCTCCTTCACGGTGTCAGAGAGACTAAGCACGGCATCATATCATTGTCACGGATTCTTCTAAAGCTTCGATCACTTTTTTACTCTTTAATTAAGGTGTTTGGTTTTGACATTATGGTTGGCATCGAGCTTTGTGTAAGCTTCAGGCCAGAGAACACAGATACACTCAGTTTTGACAGTGAACAGCTAGTGAGCTCATGCATGAAACGAAATACAGATATGGATGAAACAAGGTCCTTGCCCTCAAGGAGCTCAGTTATGTGGTGAGGGCATAGATGGGGCCATTGGGGAGCATAGACCCCAAAAAGCTTCTCTAAGGAAGTAGTTTTGAGCTAAGTTTTAAGAACAATTATGAGCTGGACAGAAAAACCAGGATGCTGCAGGGGCGTCTCAGGCCTATGAAGGAGCCGTGAGGAGGACCAAGGGCAAAAAGCCACAGAGAAGGTGTGGAAGCAGTTGAGTTTTGCTGGTGCTTTGGGAGAACCTGGGGAGATGGCAGGAGGGAAGCTCAGTGGGAGGCAACAGCCAGGTCATGAAGGGTTGTGTGCTGGGGTGCCCAGTCCACACTCCTCCCTCAAAGGGAGCTGCTAAAGACCTTCAAGCGGGGATGTGATGCAGTCAGATTCATATTTTAGAAAGCCCACTGGTGGTACTGTCGAGGCCAGCTGCATGGAGAACGGTCTAGAGTCACAGAGACCAAAAGGACTTGTCCAGCATTACTGGTAAGACCATGTGTGGACCCGCGTTAAAGAAATGGTTGTCAAAATAGGAAGGAAGGAACAATCTGAGAAAACTTGCTAACAAATGGGCTGAGGGTTGTAGAAGAGAGAGAGAAATTAAGAAAGACTTTCAGATTGCTGGCTTCTCTGTGTGGATGTGTTCCCTAGCTGTGGAGAAGAGCAGAGTTGGAGCGAAATATTATAAATTTGGTTTCCAAAATACGGAGCTGGAGGCCTCTGGGACATGTATGTGTTTAGGCTTCTCTGGACCTCGGCATAGAGGTCTGGGCTACAAGCAGATTCAGGAGTCTTCAGAATATACCTGGAAAGGGTTACCCGAGAAAAAATGTTTAAAAGCACTAGTTCTCATCTGGTTTGCCATGACACCACTAGTTCTCAAGCCCCTCAGTGGTGGGCCACCGCAGTGTGATTGACACATAAAATGTATTTCTGCCACAACTGAATGGACAGGTGACTTAGCAATACTGGTCAGAGGAATGCTGAGCAGACAGGGAGGCAGCCTTGAGCTGCTATAACTCACTGTGAAGGTCAAAGGGCAGAACAACAACAGGTCAGCACCAAAGAACAATCTCATGTTTCCTTCCACACATGAGCACCCTGCCCTGAGAGTAAGAATGCATGGTCAGGGCAGGAAAGAGCTCATGTAAATAGAAGCAAATGAAGAATCATGAAGGTTTTATGGCCAGTGTAAGACACTGGTGTGTGGCAATAGTAAATGTATTAGAATGTTTGGTACATTGTGGGTAGTTGATAATTAATTATGTAATTTTTGCTGTTAGAGAGTATTTGGCTAGACCTGAGTGATTTTGCCCTCTAGGGACTTTCAACACTGGAAACATTTTTGCTTGGCATAGGTGAGGAGTACTACTGTCATCTAATAGGTAGAGGCCAGGGATGCTGTGATGCAGAGGACAGCCCCCCACAGCAAAGAATGATCTGGCCTGAAATGTGAACACAGCACATTGAGAAGCCCTGGGCTACATAATCCATGAGTCCCTGTGTGCTGTGTGAGCCCAACCACCTCCCCTCCCTGTGAGATACCTGAAGAAGATACAGGAACAGGAGATAATAGCAAAGAAGGCAAAATGCTTATTTGATTAGCTGGTCTTGGCCCTCAATCCTCAAAGCAGGGCAGTCGGATAAACAGCTGAAGAATGTGGCCTAGGCCAGAGGCTCAAGGGAGACTCATCAACTCTGAATGCCAAACCCAAATCTCAGACCCAGCCAGCTAGCTATAAAGAGATGAGTGTGCCAAGCACTTGGGGCAGAAGAGAAAAATACATCCAAGGTCTTTCCAGTCCAACCCTTGGCCTCTCCCCAGTGTGGCCATATGGACTGTGGTAACAAAAGAGAGGCAGTGTCAATGTGCATGGGCTTTCACTAGAGGCACGCTACCCCCCAGGCCAGTTAATGTCTCAGGACATGCCTGGTTAGATTCGCATTCCTTCTCTGGGAAGAAGCAACGATAAGGGTGAGAAGAGAGAGAAAGCTTGAGCAAATCCCTTTCCTTAGACTTAGGAAATACAAGTAATATGATATATTTACGTGTTTAACACCAGGGAAGCAGTCAATAAATGTTAATGATTAGTAATTATTTCCTTTGTCAGGTTTGTTTTTTATAAGTTACCTAAGCGGCAAGACATGGAAAGCAGACAGACTGGGTTAGAGTACCTATACCTCGACTCTACTACCAGAAGCTGGAGGAGGAGTAAGCAACTTGTGAATACCACGAAGAGTGCATTGGGAAGGACATTACAACAGCTATATGAAGCCTGTGCCTCCAAGGTATGCTATAGTCAATCATTCATCAGAATTGTACAAAATGCATAAAACAGAATCTAAAGCTTCCAAAAGATTTGAACTGATAACCTACCTAACCCCCAATCCTGAAGTAAGCCGGCACAGAATCTGAATCAATCTAAGACCTTAAGGAATATGTCATCAGACTCCAGAGCAATGCCAAATTACTGGTACACTCAGCACTATATCCAATAGTATCACTGGGTGAGGTGTGAACTAATTACATATGGAAGCCTTCTGGCTGCCAGCCTCTGCCAATTCACTCAGTACTTGCTGTCTTTTTCCTCCAACGGAAACAGAAAGGAGCCCCCTCCTGCTATAATGCGATAATCGACCTGCAGTCAATATGCCACAAGGGATGGATGGTGTGTGCCCTGGTGGTGATGAGTGGTGGCGGCCCACATAAAGGTTTCCTCTTGGTCTTCCTTTTAATTTATCATTTTCCAAATAGTAGCTTGAGAGCTAGGGCTCTAGAGCAAGACCCTGAACTTGCCTGAATAAAGATTAAACCTGCTATGGGGACTTGATCAGGCAATGAGCTAACCAGCCAGAGGGATACAGGTAAGTAGGCCTCCTGGCTCACTGTGGGCAGTCCCTGTGTTCCAGGCACTGTCTGCTGTTCAGTGACAAGATACTGCTTTCCAACCAAGGGTGACACAAAAAATCAAACAATAATATTCGGTTACATGCATGAGTATGCATTGCTAACACTCACTTACGGAGCAGTCAGTGTATAAAATGACTCTGCACTCACAGGGTGCTGGGCCTTTTCATATGTCAGTAAATTTAATCCCCACAATACTGTGTTAGACCCTAGCGCTCCGGTACAGGTATATCTGAGTATTTATTCAAAATGTGCAGAGAGCTGTCCGTATGTGTGTTAATATTCACTTTACTCACCTGCCATTAAGACCAGCCTTCAGAGCCAAATTACAAAGTACGAATTTATTTGTAAGGTGTGCCAAGCACCATTACTAGGTGCTTTTAAAAATTATCTAATCCCAGCAGCAATCCTGTTTTAAATTAATAGACTATTATGTAAAGTCAATACTGCCTGAAGCTGCTTCTGCTTTCCAAGGTTGGGGATGGAGGCCGGAAGCATAACTGATCAGTAAGAAAATCAGCACTTCCCTTGTTCCCTTCCCCCCTGGGCAGAGAAAGGAAAGAGCAACATGGTGGAGCCTCTGTCATTTACTTAAGTTGGAGCAGATGGTTCCCACTTTGGCAGAATATAATAATCATCTTTGGAGGCCCAAAACTAGCCCCAGAGCCTAGGAGGGCAAGAGAGCTAAACTGCTCTGCAAAATATAAAAGAGTAGATGAGGGGCACCTGGGTGGCTCAGTGGTTGATCATCTGCCTTCGGCTCAGGGCGTGATCCGGGGGTCCTGGGATCGAGTCCGGTATCAGGCCCCCTGAATGGAGCCTGCTTCTCCCTCTGCCTGTGTCTCTGCCTCTGTGTGTGTGTGTGTGTCTCATAAATAAATTTAAAAAATCTTAAAAAAAATAAAAGAGTAGATGAGACCTAGGAATCAGAAAGTGCAAGAAACACAGAGGGAAACTGAGAGTAAGTCTGTGGTGGTATAAAACCACTCAAGAAGAAAATAAAAAAATAAAAAACCATTCAAGGTTTCGTACCTTCAGTAAAACCTGCTCACATATAAGGCCTTGAGTGATAGATTCTAGAAAGAAAATGACAGTAAAGGGGCTGATTTCCATGTCTGATTGGCATAGATCCAAAAGAGGAAAAGCAACAATAGTGGGTGACATCCAAGTGAGATGGGGTGTTCTCTGGAAGCTGGAACTATGTGCCAGAAGTGATGATAAGACATAACTCCTCCACCTCCTGACCTGAAATTCTAACAGAAAGCAGAATGCAAGATCAGACCAACTGATTTTATTTTTTGTTTTTTGTTATTTTTTAAAGATTTTATTTATTTATTCATGAGACACACACACACACAGAGGCAGAGACATAGGCAGAGAGAAGCAGGCTCCATGCAGGGAGCCCGATACGGGACTCAATTCGGGGACCCCGGGATCAGGCCCTGAGCCCAAGGCAGAAGCTCAACTGCTGAGCCACCCAGGCGTCCCCAAAACCAAATGATTTTAAATCTCAGTTGTCAAGATGACCTAGGCCAATATCTCAGTACATTTGGGATTGTTTCCCTTCTTTTGCCTTTGTCCATAAGAACCTTCCATTCACCTTTGTAATGACGCTCCTCGAACTATGTTGCAACTGCCAGTACTTGTCTGTCAATATTCCCTTGACTCGGGGCAGAGATTTATGAGTCTTATTCAACAACTGGTAGTCAAACTAATACCCAGCCTATGTGTTAACGAAATAAAGGTGTCCAGAGGCACACACATAGGCCTACATATTCTTTTTTTTAGGCCTACATATTATTAAATCCATAATCCTTCCTGTTTATCAGAGAGCCTCTCTTCACTAGAGCTACATCCCATTTAGCCTTAGCTAGTTGTTACATTCCTGGTTAGAATAATAAATATTCATCTATTATAGGAATAAAGTTCCTCATAGAATCTTCCTCCCAGAATCCCTTCACATTACACACCAAAGGCACACAATGGCCTCATGACCACATTCAATGCCGGCTCATTGAATAACTAACTGTCGAAGTCCTCCGGCTGAGGATCTAAATGTCAACAGTAGCTATGGTCATTTGTGGAAAATGAGGGTAAGAAGATAGCTTCTTTTCTCGGATATTCCTAAATATAGGAGCCAAGAATGCTTCACGGAGTATATGGCACATTAAAAAAATTTTTTTGGATTACATCAAATAATGAAGCAACTGTAAGTGACTTAGTTATTGACTTTTTTTTCTGAGACAAAAGGAAGAGCTTTTTTTTTTTTTTTTAAAGGTGATGGGTTGTTCTTTCTTGCTTTTAATTATGTCCCTGAGATGTTTTCTAATATTAACATTATTGGCTTCAATAAAAATCACTGAATCATGACATAAATGAAATGGAACCACACGGAACAAATGTAAGCAAGTTTCCAAAATATGACATAAGAGATACCAACAAAATAATAGATTCATTTTTACTTAGAGAATTGGCCAACTGTTTAGAAAATTTACTCAGATTTTGCCTTCCCAGAGGAAATCCAATATCACACACTCAATTTCACCACTTTTTCTAAGCAGGAAAATATCAAGCAAGAAAGGTGAAGTAATGGATACGCTGAGAAATGGATTGTAGGAAAATCCTTCCCTACCGGGAGGTAGTAAAAACAGAGAATGAGGAATCCTGATTAAACACAAAATGATGATCAAGCCGTGAAGCACAATGTAGGTAGAGGAAACCAGACCCTGACAGCCAGTTCTGCACTGTGTCTCTAATATCAGTGGAAAAAACCCAGGTGTAATCCTTGGCTGGTTGCTCCTACTTCATTTCCTGAACAAATATTTAAGTAGTCCTTTATTATACATTGGTTGTCAAATGAGAAACACAGTCCAAAACAACCAAGAGAAATAGGAATATTGCCCTTGCACGCACATCACAATGCATAGGGTTGGTTCCCTGTCACATAAGATGAAACCATGCATGGCTGAAAATGGACTTCCTGTTCCCTGTTCCCCCATATTGATGGGGAAGCTGTCTATTAGGAGAACGGGTGACTTCTCATGTGTATTAATGAAAGTTCCATATTGCAGTCTGGGTGACTAGTAGAAATGTTGTGAGCATTTATGAGTTTAAGATTTACACCATTATAACCCTAATGTGTTCCTGCAGAATAACAACACAGCCTACCTACTATACAATGATGGGGTCCCTGCATCTGTGACTTACAGCAGAAAGTATGGACACACTAAAGGTATGACAAAGGTTGTTAGTTTCTCTTTCCTCCTGGAAATCAGCACTCTTTTAAACGTTCTATCTTGAATATTCTTATATTCTACACTAAAAGGATAGCTTTTCTTTTTAACAGTTTGAGTTATCAAAATGCATGGGTTCTATATCACAGGTTGTAATTTTATCATTTGACTTGGAAATCTCCTTTTCACAAATTCCATTTTATTTCTTAACATTTTTTAAAAGATTTTATTTATTTATTCATGAGTGACACACACAGAGAGAGACAAAGAGAGACAGAGAGAGAGAAGCAGAGACACAGGCAGAGGGAGAAGCAGGCTCCATGCAGGGAGCCCAATGTGGGACTCGATCCCTCGACTCCAGGATCACACCTTGAGCCAAAGGCAGACACTCAACCACTGAGCCACCCTGTGGTCCCTTATTTCTTAACATTTAAAAATATATGCTTTACAGCAGAAATTCAAATACTGACTACTGAGAACACCAGCCAGTCTGTGTGTGTATGTGTCGTGTGTACACACACATTTCAGTCAGGTTCGTAGAGGTATAATTTACATAGAATAAAATCCACTCTTGCTAGTGTACAGTTCCTTTTGAAATAAACATTTTTGAAAAATAGTTTTTTATATTACAATAACTTTGTTATATATTACAGTAATTTTTATTATAGGAACTTTTGTTATTTTTCTATTTATGAACTATGTTTATGTATATATGTTATCTAAAAATTCAAAATGCCGGGCAGCTCGGGTGGTTCAGCGGTTTAGTGCCACCTTCAGCCCAGGGCCTGATCCTGGAGACCCGGGATGGAGTCCCACGTCGGGCTCCCTGCGTGGACCCTCTTCTCCCTCTGCCTGTGTCTCTGCCTCTGTGTGTGTGTGTCTGTGTCTCTCATGAATAAATAAATAAAGTCGTTTAAAAAAAATTCAAAATACCAGGTAAGCCTGGGTAGCTCAGTGGTTGAGCGTCTTCCTTCAGCTTAGAGCATGATCCTGGTACCCCAGGATCCAGTCCCGCATTGGGCTCCCTACAGGGAGCCTGCTTCTCCCTCTGCCTATATCTCTGCCTTTTTCTGTGTGTGTCTCATGAATAAATAAAATCTTAAAAAAAAAAATCAAAATGCCAGCAAACAAAAATTGTAATCCTAAGACCCACTAGATACCATATTAATCCTTTCTACTTACTTTTTTATAATATGTATTTTAAAACATTTTTATAAAACTCTTGTAATGACTGTTTTCAACCATTTTTCAACTTAATACATCATAGATAACTTCCCATGGCAACAAGTATTTTTCAGAAGGTCCCAAACTCAAGGCCTTCAGAGACAGGCAAATGGATGTCAGCAAGCCAGGTGGGGAGAACTAGCAGATAACTGAAGCAGTGGAGGGGGCATATTTTATCAAAAGGGGCAGATGGTACTCAACTTGCCTTTTAGGGATGCAATTTTTCAGGAGATATTGAAATTAGTGTTTGTGGAAATTTTCCCCAATTTTTAAATGTTGGCAATGAACTCACAGTTTTAAAAATACTCTGCAAGCATAATAATATGTATCGACAGGCTAGATTTGGCCAGTAGGCTGCCACTTTGCAACCTCTGATTAAGAATATAATTTGTAATGGCTGTCAAATGTCATGAGCATTGAAAGCTTTTGATTTAGCCAAGTTGCCCTCCTGATGGTCCTATTAGCATAAAATGCAGCAATTTTTATAATATACCACATTCTCCAACCTCTTCTCCAACAAACTCCAACCACCATTCTCACGCCACTCTGTTAGTTGCTACAAGGGCTTGGGGAAAAGACTAGAAAGGGAATGGGACCCCATGTCTAGAGGGGGAGCTCTCTTTGTCAGCAGGTGCCTGACATCCTGTGGCATTAGTACCCAGAGGTCAGGATTTTAGGCAAACAGCCCACTCATCTGGGCAAAAGACAGCCCCTGAAGGTCATCCAGGAATATTAGGCAGCAGAACTTTGGACATTTTCTACCTGGACACAGGGACTGATTCTATCTAAACACACTGAGAAACCAATAGTGTGCTTTCTTAAAGTGTGTTCTTTGAAAAAAAATATATAACTGGCAGACATTTGGTGTCTACTCTAACAATAAGGCAAACCTGAAAAGCTTTGTATTTGCATGGTCATACGCAAACTGGAAAGTCTAGTCAGCATACCAAAACTATCTCGATTTATTTATAAACACAGAAATAGTCACAGATGCCTGTTGGATAGGATTCATTTTGCCATGTCACAAGATGATGAAAATCTCTCTGTTTTCTTTCTTTCCGGTTTTCATGTTATTTTGCTCTAGAAATCTTCACTAAACACAATTAATTGAGCTGTTTTGGCATGGCTTCTCCTTTAATTCTCTTTGTTTCTTGTTTCTGGGCTTGTGGAATTGACTAGTCTTCTACACGTAAGTGAGCATCGGTTTCTTACAACAAATTACCACAGGTACAGTTCTCCATCTGATATTTTCTCTTTCAACTCTTTTTTTAACCAGCTTTTGAAAATAGCTTAGCTGCTTAGCAGTAAAGAGACTCATTATCTGAAGCTTGCCAGGTGACCATATAGTTTAACAAGGTCAAATTCCAATTTAGCAAATCTGCAGTCTGCCAAAACAAATTCTCCTTGAGGTTTCGACGTGAAATTCCTCTTAACTCTTCACAGGGTGGCTGCCCTGGCTTTCTTTTTGGTGGCTTATTATCAGTAATGGGGCAATGTGATGTGTGCCCGAATTGGTTTTGAAATCTTTGAAAAACAAGCATGATTTTTGTGATTATTAATGGAATAAAACATTAGCCCCAAATACAAATGGGCTTAAATGTTGCAGCTTTGAACTCTATTGTTGAATGGAGATTTATTTTTCTAATGGATCTGTATTAACTGTATCTTTGGTAGGCTTACTGCTGTGGAACAGAGTCCAGGGATTCTGGCTGATTCATTCTATTCCCCGGTTTCCTCCAACTCCTGAAGAAGGCTATGATTATCCACCCACAGGAAGAAGACACGGACAAACTGGCATCTGCATAACTTTTAAGTACAACCAGTATGAAGCAATAGGTAACATTAGAGTATGTTAAAAAAGAGATTGCAGTGTTAAAGAAAGGACTTGGAAATCTATTAATATATTAATGACTTCATCTATCTCTCTATTCATTAACACTCTGATACCTCGATTCTATTAGATTCTGATATTGGCGTTGCCATGGTGAGACTTTGAGCAGGTTCGCTTACTAGACCTTTGTTTCCTGATCCACCAGTGAAGTCTTTGAAATTGATCAGAGGTAGTATCTTCAAATGTCTACAGCCATGTGGCTCTGTGGGAAAGCAGACCTAACAGTTACAGATCTCCATACTTTTTGAGAGGAACTAGAAATCTAGGGATGGGAAGATGTGAGAGAGTAGGAAAGAGAGTACGGTCTCAATCTTATTTAAAGAAATAATTGTGCAGATTACATGTTGCCTGCAGGCCACCAACTTGACAGCTCCTAGCCACATGATCTTCCTTAAGATCCCAGGCTCCAATGGCCAAAAATACTTGGATTTGGAAAACTTCGATGGGAGAGAAGGACAAGTAGGAACACTGTTTTACCAATCACAGGAGGCTGCTAAATTGTAGTAAAAAGTGATTTACCTCTAAATATGGGAGGTTTAGAATATGTTTTTCATCAAATGTTCATCTTACGACAAAGATTACTGAAGCTCTCATCCAAGGGAAACCCTAGTTTAACTAATTGAGTTCCAGTAATAATTATAGAGATGAATAATGCAGAGATTAGATGTACATGCTGATGAGTTGATCATTCTTCAAACTGATGATCAGTACACAGGAGTTCTCTTCTTTTGTATATGTATATGTGTAAGAAAAAACGTGATCTCCAATGCCAGACCCAGTTCCTGGGTTTAAATATCAACTCTATCAGGTACAGGCTTTATAACCCTGTGCATACAACCTAAATTCTCCATTAATTCGTCTGTAAAATGAGGATGATGATAAAAGAACTTACTTAATAATGTGGTTGCTGTCAGGATTGAATTAATAAATTCTTGTAAAACTCATAAACAATGCCTGGAAAGTAGAAAGTGCTCAATAGCTGGCAACTATTTTAACCAAGAGTAATTTGAAAGCTATTGGCTTAAACAAGGGAATACTTTTGGTTTTGTTTCTTGTTTGGTCTGTTTTTTAATTCACAACAAGATATATAATATCGACAGACATTATTCTGTTTGTGTTCTAATTCTCAATTTTTCTTTCTGTTTCTTAATTCAGATTCTCAGCTCTTGGTCTGTAACCCAAACATTTATAGCTGTTCCATCCCAACCATCTTTCACCAGGAGCTCGTCTACATGCCACAGCTGTGTGCTGCTGGGTCCACCTCATCAGAGATCCCTGGCCAGCACCTCACCTCACTTCAGTCAGCCCGAGGCCAAAAATTCATCCATTTTGCAAAGTCTGATTATTTCCTTGACGGTATGAAAGATCAGGATCCAACCATATGTAACCTTGCTGTTGGACTCACTTTAGATTGTATAGAGGAAATATTCTGATTAGTCAGGGGCAGAGAAATAAAAGAGAAGGAAGGAAAGGGAAAAGAGAAGTCAGATCAGTTCAAACATTTGCCTGCTCTGCTTGAGTGGCATAATAGCCAATCCAACTGCCCAAGTCTCTCACAACCATCCAGCCAGGGGCCAGTGAAAATTTGCAGTCGCCAGCCTCCATTGAGCACAGAACCACAGCTGTCTCCTATTTCCACTCCCTAAACAGCTATGTTAACCCTCCTTTATTCTCAAGTCCTTTACATTACCCTGCTTCCTCATTCCCAGCCTCGCTTTTTTCTTTGTAGAGAGAACAGAGATCACCAAGGAGAAACCACTTCAAGGACAATCCCCACCAAAACCATATGGAGTTTCCTCAAAAAACTAAAAATAGAAATATCAGATGATCCCAGAATTCCGCTACTGGGTATCTACCCCAGGAAAACAAAAACACTAATTCAGAAAGATCTGTGCATCCCTATGTTTTTGGAGCATTAGTTATACAAGCCAAAATTTGGAAGTAACCCAAGTGTTCATCAATAGATGAATGAATAAAGAAGATGTGGTATAAATACACAATGGGATATTACTCAGCCATAAAAAGAATGAGATCCTACCAATCGTGACAACATGGACGTACCTTAAGGGTATTATGCTAAGTGAAATAAGTCAGACAGAGGAAGACAAAACCATATGATTTCACTAATGTGTGGAATTTTAAAAACAAATGAGCAAACAAGCAAAAAGAGCAGAAATGGACCCGTAAATATATAGAACAAACATAATCCCCAAAGGGAGTGGATGGAGGGATAGGCAGTATGGGTGAAGGGGAGCAGGAGGTACAGGCTTCCAGTATATGGAAAGAATAAGTCACAGGGATGAAAGGAACAGCATAGGGAATATAATCGATGGTATTATAATAGGGTTGCATAGTGACAGATGGGAGCTGCACTCTGGTTGGCACAACATAATGGATAGAGTTGTCCAATCACTATGTTTTATACCTGACACTAATGTAACTGTATGCCAGCTATACTTCAATTTTTAAAAATAGCTTTTAAAAAAAGGAAACCAAAACACACCCACTCTCAACAATCTTATCTGTTTCCATTCCTTTTCATGAGTTTTCTCTCATCCCTACAAAGCAGTACATCCCCTGCCTTGGAACCCATCCCCTAATACCTTGATTCATCCACTTTATCTATTCCCTCTCGTCTACCTCAATGTCCCCACTCTATAAGATCTGTCCCCTAAGTACACAAACATTCCTGAAAACACTCCCTTGGTCCTAGATCTCCTATATTTCTGGGGCTTTTTTTTCTTTTCTTCCAAATTTCTTTTTATAACACTCTTCAGGGATGCCTGGGTGGCTCAGTGGTTGAGTGTCTGCCTTTGGCTCAGGGCATGATCCCGAGGTCCAGGGATCAAGTCCCACATCAGGCTCCCTGTGAGGAGCCTGCTTCTCCCTCTCCCTATGTCTCTGCCTCTCTGTGTGTCTCTCATGAATAAATACATAAAATCTTTTTTTAAAATTAAAAAAAAGAATCTTCAGGGCCTTCACTGGCTCCATGCTGCTTGAGTGCAGTCTTGTGTCTCTGTTTGTAGACACTCCAACCTCTCCCCAGTCACCAGCGACTCTCTTAGTTGACCTCACTGTCTTCTCTCCTTGCTTGCTTCCTTCCTTCCTTTTATATTAGATAAAATTTACTGAATGCCTCCCACTTGCCAAGCCCTGTGTTAGGTACCAGATAGAGATCCAAAAATTAACAGGACAGAAATAGCCTCTGCAGAATTTGGCACTGCTAAAACCATTTCTTCCTGAAACACTCCTCCTCCCTGATTGGTGGGAGGGTACAGACTCTTGGTCTTCTTCCCACTTCTTTAAGTCTCTTCTGCAAGGTCCTCTTCCTCTGCTTACTCCTTAGGTGACTGAGTTGCCACATGATCCTCTACTCTTCCTTATCTCATTCTACGTATTCACTCTAGGTGATTCCAGCAAGGCTTCGGGTGGTTCCCAAGGCTAGGTCTGTACCCATACTTCTGAACTGACAGATGTATTCAACAGTGGGTTCGACATTTCTACTCGGAGGTGGCACAGTCACGCCAAATTCATCATTATCCCCCACAAATCTATTCTTTTTCTTATATTCTGCATGGTCAACTGGGAACTCTAGATCCCTCTTTTCCTCACCCCTCTATCAAGTCATCAAATTCAATCACTTCCAGGTCCTCAGTAATGCTCATATTTATCTTTTCCTCTCCAAACTTTCTGTCACTGCCACAGTCCACACTTGTGTTTATCATTACAGTTATAGTGACAACCTGATGTTTTCCCTATATCTAATCTAATGCACCTTTCTCAGTTCATCCTCCATATTGCCTCTCAATTCATATTTATGATCATAATCAGTTTCTATTAGTTCTTCATTAACACTTCTTTAAAAACTCCCCCATCGAGGGGCACCTGGGTTGTTCAGTTAGTTAACTGTTTGACTCCTGATTTCAGCTCAGGTCATGATCTCAGGGTCATGGGATTGAGTCCTGCATCAGGCTCTGTGCTTATAGAGTCTGCTTAAAATTCTCTCTCCCTCTCCCTCTTCCCCTATGCTCTGCTCTCTCTTTCTCTCTCTAAAAAGAAAAGAAAAGGAAAGGAAAGGAAAGAAAAGAAAAGAAAAGAAAAGAAAAGAAAAGAAAGAAAAGAAAGGAAAGAAAAATAAAAGGAAAAATTGCCCCATCAATTTCAGGAAAATCCAAACATTTTGGCAAGATTTCCAAAGATCCCTAGAAGCTGACCCCTGGTTACTTCTCCAGCTTTATTCTTTCCAAAGATCTTTTCAGGACAAAAACATATATTGCTCTCTTGTTTGTGTGGAACAGAAGACATTTTTAAACACCAATGTCATCTCAGTAATAATGATAATAACCTTTATTTGCATATCACTTTAACACTTACAAAATGTTCCCCCATTCACTATCTCAATTGTGTTCTTATTATTGTGCTTGTGACATCCATATATCAGGGTGAATGATGATTTCCATTGCTGAGGATATTTTCAGAGACTTATCTAAGTATAAATACTAACCTCGCTATCTTTCTCCCTGTAAACTCTAGACATCTTTGTAGCCTGGATGGCTCAACATTTGAAAACGCACTTGCTAACAGAAACCTGGCAGCGAAAAGGACAAGAGCTTCCTTCAAACTGCTCCCTTCCTTACCATGTCTACAATGTCAAAGCAATTAAGATATCTGGACAGTCCTATTTCAGTTCTTACCAGGATCATGCCAAATGGTGTGTTTCCCAAAAGAGGACCAAAAATCGTTGGACCTGTATTGGAGACCTAAATCGGAGCCCGTACCAAGCTTTCAGAAGTGGAGGATTCATTTGTACCCAGAATCAGCGTATTTACCATGCATTTCAAGGACTGGTTTTGTATTATGAAAACTGCAACTGAACTTGGTGAAATAACATATGCACTATCATTTCCAATGCCAAAAATGGGTCTTCTTCCATCAGATCCATTCTTTATATATTAAAAGCCTGTGAATGTAGTTATAGCCCACATACCATCAAATAAAATGCTTTTCTACCATGTTTACCATTTTGTCTTCCACTTAGTGGCAATTTATCTACTTTGAATTTATGTGCCATAAACATAAATCATTACACATATCTAAAGTGAAAATGGATGCAGTGGAAGAAAAAATATTCTCGATTGTTCATAGATTGACTGGATATCTCCTAGATTAATTTCATCTCCTTCAAAAGATTTTCCTCACTCTCCTTCTCATCCCTTGTTGAAGGAAAAACATCTCTCTCTGTATCTCACACTCCTTTAGTCGTCATCGTCTTAGAGTTCTTTTCATTGGCTAATGGTTGTCTTATTTGTTATTCTTGCAGCTGCTCCTTTGTAATCTTGTGATTTTAGGCCACTCACCTGAATTCTCTGAGGTTTGGTTTCTCATCTACAAGATGGAAATAATGTCTAAATATGTTTAAGCACCTAGCACACAGCCTGGCAGAGTTGACACTTAAAAACACTATGGAATATGAGTATGAATCCCCCTAACAAGTTAGAAAAGACAAAGAAAAGTTTAGAAATAAGTAATATTTTTCAAAAAAAATTTTAAGTTGGATTAGGATGAAGAAATAAAACAACCCACCTACTTGGGTTAAATAAAGAACTGTGACATAAAGGAACCATAAACAAATCTAACAATCTTCATTCCAGTGTGTTTTATTTTGGGAGTTCTGATCACTAACTATAACCGTGATATAGATAAACAGTAACAAATTTGCATTAAGTACTAATTGCTCAATAAAAATTTAAATATGGTTCCCAATTTCAAGAAAATTACAATCTAACAAGAGCAATCACAACGATAACTAAAGCCAGCACTTATTGAGCATTTACTATGCAGTGAACAGTCAACTCACATTTTTTATTTGATATTTATAATGATACTATAGAGTGGGAATTATTACATCCCATTTTAGTGACAAGGAAACTAAAGCCTACAAAGCTTCAGTAACTTGCCCAATATTATAGAGGTCTAACTGACCTCTAAGACTATGTTCTTTACTTCTGTTCCAAGAGTCAGTAAAGTAAAATAATGCTATATAGGATTATATATATATGTATATATATAATATATATATATACACATATATATATAATGTCTTACCACCAACCAAAATTCAGGGGACATAATGGCATTAGTTAAATGAAAAGCAGACAAAGGGCAGCCTTGGTGGCTCAGCGGTTTAGCGCCGCCTCAGCCCAGGGCATGATCCTGGAGACCCGGGATCCAGTCCCATGTCAGGCTCCCTGCATGGAGCCTGCTTCTCCTTCCACCTCTGTCTCTGTCTCTCTCTGTGTGTCTCTCATGAATAAATAAATAAAATCTTTTAAAAAAAAGAAAAGCAGAGAAAAAGCTAAGTTTGTCTTCCTGTCAGAAGCAAAGATAAGCTAAGGAAATAGTGAATACTAGCTAGCTAACTTACATGCTTGAATGTATGAAGAGATTGGAAAAATATGTTTTATCCTCACAGAAAGCATCTGAGCATAAATAATTCCAATAAAAAAGGATTAAAAGAAAAGCTAAAAAGTACAAGATCCTGACTTTAAAGGTGAAGACGGTCAGAACTTTAACCAATAGCACAGATAGAAATGAATGAAAAGGAAAAAGAGAAAGCAAAGGTCAATTGAAGAAGAAATTTTATTGGACTAAAAATACACACAATAGATATGAGCTTCCCCCAAAAGGTAAATCCAGACCTTCTAGAAAAGTGGTTTTATCTCAAGCTCAACAGAAGAATCTGAAGGAGAGGAGAATCACAATCAGAATCTAAATAAAGAGTATAAGGATGTGACAGAAAAGAAAAAGAAGATGCTGTCCTACTGGCAATGCACAGTAAGGATGTGCTTCCCAGTGAATGGGAGAAGGGCAGTGACTAGACTCTCCTTGAGGAAGGAAAGAATGCTAGAAAGGAATTGAACAACCCTGGTAGGTAGTTCAAGGATATCAAATACTGACCTTGGGCGGAAAGACTGTATCTTGGCGTTGGTAGTTCCCCCATGCTTAGGAGCTTAGGGGTAGCCACAGAAGACCAAAGAAACTAGTATTGCTCTCTTTCTCAAGAATATGCCCAAGCCAGTTATCCAGTCATACTGATTCTTAGAGGGACACTGTGGGGTATCCTAAGGATAATAATATAATTGGAAGGAAATTGAAACTTTTGAGATTATAGGTGTGTGTATTCATTTGGTTTCCTTTGGGAGAAAGAGAAGGATATGGGCGATATCAATGAATGAAATTTAAGTTCTAAACTATGATTTAAAATACTGGAATTAAAGACTCATGTCTAAGATGGGAGTATACTTTACAAAAAAAGTTTAAGATTGTGTTTGGCTAGACATTACTTAATGTAATCACAGAGGAAGGATATTAAAAACAGAAACAGATCTATGGAAATAATTAGGGTAGAAAATGGCAATTCAGAAATTCCAAATCATTTCTGCTGTGCCCTCACATGTTTCTTACGTGTGAGCTTCTTAGAAAAGCTTTTTTCACCTGTATACATCATGTGTCCCTTTTCTCTCCAGCTCCAAATGCTTGTGACACAAAAGAAAGTAAGTCATATGGCATCCCAAGGCAGTAAGATTCAGAAAGAGGTAGGGATATCACGACTGAGTCTTGGTGCTTGAGTACTTGGTCTGAAAGGTCATGTCCACTGGAGATAAGATCACCATTGCCTGCCTTGTGCTTGCTGAAGCAGAGGCTGGAGAATGGTGTAAGTGCACCCCGAGTTCAAAGGAACACAGAGTAAGTTTTTAAGTTTTTAGCTTAAGTTGGTTTGAGTAGGTATCTATTTCTTGCAAGCAAACAATTCTCATTAAAGTTATGTAGAAACAAGAATGACAGTACTAGTGTAGTGCCAAATCATTTCAATTAAAATAATAACTGAGGGAGACACCTGGCTGGCTCAGTCGGTCAACCTGCAACTCTTGATCTCTGATTGTAAGTTTGAGCCCCACATTGGGTGTAGAGATTACTTACAAATAAAATCTTTTAAAAAATAAATAAAATAAAAAATAAAATAATAACTGAGAGATGGGTCATGCACAATTCTCACATTCCCACAATCTCGGAGGTTTTACATACTAACACAGAATAGGGGTTATACAGGAAGTATACTTGAACTTGTGGTGTGGCATGGTAAATAAACGCACTTTCATGGGAATAAATATGAAGGATTTGGTGGGAAAGAATAAGAAAGAGTAATGATATAGCTTCAAAAATCTGGACATTTACTAAGTGTCTCATTCAGCTAAAACAATTTTTGATTAATTTGTGGCTAAACACACTATTTCATTTCCCAAAGAGTCAATGAAATGACCGGATGAATTTTAACTCTGAACCTAAGACCTGCAAGCAAGAGTTTGTTGGTGAAATGAAAGAAATGGTGCCCCAGGAGAAAAGTATCCCTGGATGATCATCAGAAAAAGAAAAGTTGAATGTAGTTCAAGTTTAGAAAGTCTAAGATTGAAGTACAGAAAACAATACGATTCCAAGGCTGAAGATTCTTAAAGGGAATACAGCTCAAGAGTTTAAGATCAAAAAGAAATGCTGATTATGTGATTTCTCCACGAGGAAGAAAGGGAGAAAGCAATGTAATTACACAGCCTGCTTTCTCATAGGCTCTTCTATAAATTAGGTACATACAAAGCATGGGGAGAAAAAGCCCATTGAACATAGAAGAATAAAAGAATGGCACCAACCTGTGTAGGATTGTGTGAAACTGTAATGTGAAACTTGTTGCAAAAAACGTGAAAATCAACAGAATTTGGGCTTATATTTAATCAGGATTACATTGGAACTAATAGGAGTTTGTGCATGTAAAAAAAAAAAACTCCCCCCCAAAATAAAACCTTTGTGTCTTTTATTTCCATCTTCTCAGTAAAGATGAATGGTATTCAAACTAAAAAGGTAGAAAAAAAAAGTCAGAAGAATTAAATCAAGACCTCTACAAGGTAATCTTCAGAGAGCACACAGCTCCCCCACAGTGAATTCATGTTTCCAGGCTCAATAAATGACAGTGAAAACTACTGAAAGACCAGAGATCATTAAGTAAACACAGAAGACAGGCAAATGTCACTTTAATTTTTAAAATCGGAGGGTGGATGTGTTCTTAAACGTAGTACCCAGAATGTTTCTGCTTGGCTCTATAAAGGGCCAGATTTTTAAGCACTTACCAAACAATCAGCTAGACAATCTGCAGGTGTGAGCATGAATGAGGTAGAAGAAAGGAATAGCATGAGCAAAGTCTCAGAGACAGACCTGAGGAGTGAACCACAAGGAGTTAGGCTTAGCTAGAGAAGAGAATATGCTTTAGGGACTTGAGAAAAAAATGAGACTGGACACATAGAGTAGAGTCACAATGTAAGGTGGGACCTTAAAGCCAAGCTGCGAGTTAAAACTCAAGGGGCAAGATCTGAGTATTCTTTTTTAAGATTCTGTCTTCATGAGAGACACACAGAGAGAGGCAGAGATTAGGCAGAGGGAGAAGCAGACTCCCTGCAGGGAGCCTGCTGCAGGACTCGATCCCAAGATCCTGGGATCATAACCTGAACTGAAGGCAGACCCTCAACCACTGAGCTACCCAGGTGCCCCAAAATCTGAATATTCTTGAGAAGATTAAAGAAACATCATGATAAAAGCAATGATTTAAGGGAAGTTAGTCTATGGTAAGGTCTGAGCCTTGAAACTGATTTAGACTAAATCAAGTCCCTTCCACTTGAAAACAATTTATTTCTATTCTATTCTATTTTAGGAGGCTCTGACAATAATCCTGATGTGAAATAAGAGGTCCTGACCTAAGACAGTAACAAGTGAAACAGAAAAGATGAATGTGAGAGACATTTCAAAAAGGAAAAAAAAAAGAAAAAGCTGCCAGGATTTCATTTCTAAATTAATAATAACTATACCTATTTTCATAATGGGAACCCAACATATACTGAATACTCAAAAATATTCGCTTATGTACCGTAAAAGACCCCACCATTG